TGTGGGGTGTGAGACTTGTCCCTAACAGCTATGTGAGCGCTTTGATGCTTCAGATCATATTCGGATTACATTCTTGTACCTGGTCATTTCGCTGTCAATTTGCATCAACGTCACGTTTGGCTTTCTTTCATTGTCACGTTTTAGTTCGTTCAGTGAGATTCTCGTTTTATGACGTGACTCGTAGTTAGTGCCATTGGCACTATCCTCAGCACCCTCTAGAGTGTAAAACATAAATGTGAATTATGTTCACGAGGTACGCTGATGAGCAAAAGTGGCATTGTAAGGCTGAGCGTTAGACTAAAACGAATGGCCCTTCCTCCATTATCTCCGACGGTTGAGTCTGAGACCACATAATATGACAGGTCTCACCGGAGGTCCATGACGGCCGTCCCTTTGTTTGCAGGATTAAGGCTGGCGCCACTAGGCGCTCCAGTCAAGAATGAACGACTCTTATCAATAATTAAGGCCATTTTCCCTTTCTCTTTCAGCCGTCAAAATGGAGGAGTGTGACGGAAAACCACCAACCAAGAGGACTAAATAGGGCGGGACAGGAGATGGTTTGATTCATGAGGTCAGCGGGGGACACCTTCTGATTCAGTGCTTCCGACGAAATCTCGCGAGAGTTGATAACTCTCTGAACGTGACTTGAGAGCAATGTGAAGGCCTATTGTGAAGTATGTCTAGCAGTAACAGAACAAGAAAAAAGTTTTATATTTTCTGTATGATTTACAACCTGCGTCAACGATGGACCGTAGGCTTATGCAAGTATCTAGAGGCAGAGACGCCTCTGCATTTCCACCCACCTACATGCAGTCCACAAGGCGTCCATGATGACACACTGCTGCGACCGACACTGTAAAGGAACCCTCTTTCCACTAGAGCGAGCGCTGAGCGATCATACAGTGCCTAAAATTGGATATGACCCTTGATTTCATAATGGAAATATTCTGTGCGACGCAAAAGTATGATTCAAAAGACAAACACATAAAATAGCAGAATTTCTGGCGACCTGTCAAATAGCTCAGCGGTCGTGCAGCTTCTTGTCTAGTAGAAAGTGGGTGTAGAGAAAAATGACAGTGGTATATGATGGTGATAGGGCGAAGTTCTTACATAAATGATGTCAGATTCAGCATATAAATGACCAAAGTGACCTGCTTAACAAACGTTTTGCCTGTTTGTAAAGAAAGGAATACTGAAGTGTATTGGGGAAAGAGCCTTAAATTTGTGTGCTTGTACAAATGTGATATCCATGATGTTGGCAATGTGCAATAGTTCATCTAGCAAAACGCTATGACAGTGTGTATCACCTTCTGTAGCTCCCTTTTCTTCTACGGCCGTTTTGGAAATGTGGATATGTTTTAGGTGCCTGGTGGCTCATTGGTTAGTAAATGTACACATTCACAACATGTAGCTGAATAGATGAGAGTTCCATAAGGTTTGCATAACATCGGATACATGTGCAAACTTCACAGTATCGAATGCTTTCGATATGTGTATCCACGACCTCTTCAAAATATGTGTACATGTCCGAACCTGGCAACAACTGTTCTCCCCGATATACCAGCGTTAGGCCACAGCAAGTAAATTTTATGGATGACATCCTCCACAGACTCGAAATCGAATGCGAGCGGGCGAAAAAAAACTAGGCGGGCCGCAAAAAATACAAGGTTCTTCTTACATTTCAAAATTTTGAGTCAATCATTGTACAAATGGTTTTGATTCAATGGGAACATCACATATACACAGCCAACAAAACATTAAATCAGAGCCTTTTCTTGTCTCTTCTCTTTATAGTTATCTGCCACCCACCTTCCGACATGGCAACAGACATCTTTGCCCATTTTCGGCATGGTGACCACAAAATTTCTTGTTTTCTTCCAAAATCATGCGAAAATCAATGCGCGCTCTGATGTCATCCATAAAAATTACTTGCTGTGGCGTTACGAACATGCTCAAGTCGACGTTCGTCAGTTGCACTGACAGAAGATATGAATGACAGGCGAAGGGAGTATAAATGAGTGTACATAGTCTTATCAAGCACAAGCAAATAATGTCTAAATGACGTGAATGTTTGTTTCAGAGGGATGATATTTTGTGTCTATCTAAATGTATGCCTGACTGTGATCTGACAGATCGTGTTGAAGTATGAATTATATGTTCGAAAATAAAAAGTCCTTACAATTCAGTGTGTCACCATTTAGTGAAAAATAGAAAAAAGTGCCACCACAATTCCACAAGGTAGGAAATTCAAGTCGGCACATTGCTGTATCCATTGCTGACTTTTACAGCTACGTTAAGAAGATAGATATAAGCACTTCTCCAAACACTTGTGTACCTCAAGTAAACCTCAAGACTTGTGATTCCTCCAACCTAATCTCCAAGCAGATTCTCATGGGCAGGTGATACATCTGGTGGCCGATGTGATCGTCCCCTGGCCCAGAATGAATCTGCTTGGAGATAACCTCCAACCCAACGGTAGTTGTACGTCACTGGATACGACCCAGGTACCCCCGAAGACCGGTACGCACCACCCACTCTGATAAGTCGTGAATTGTAGATATCATGCCGTAAGTCAGCATGATCTTATCGTGGTCTTCGCTGCATCCACATGTATCATTACCCACACGTACTTTCTTTATCAACTCTGACGACTATCAAGCTGATATTAAGTTAATATTGTTGGGAATGAAGGGACCGTATACTATAGTACTCTGATGTGCACGATAGGGCGGTAGGCCTTGAAGTCGAGCTTGCGTGCGTGTAAACATGACTCCGGGCAGGTAACAGCAGGAGGCCATGTCGTCCCTAACTTTGCCTTTCCGATATGTAGGGAGGATGGAAGGGGTACAAACGAGCGGTAAATAGCTGTTCAATGGAGGGGAAGGAAATACGGGTTCTTGTTCAACACGTGTCATTAATAACGACTTCATGGCATTGAATTATAGTCGGGCGCGGGATAAGACGTCGACGCTGATTGTTTTGCAGCGCCACCTATGAGGAAGGTGGTGGAATTGCAGTGCAATGTTAAAGCCTTTTTCCTAGAATCCGATAGATAAAGTATTAGAGGATGCATCACAGGGTTACCAGTATCCCTTGGTGATAGTGGAATGAAAACTAAGAATAGAATCCCAATGCTCTATGTCGAGGGTCCACCGGAACTAAAAAGGATTGATATCAGGCTCATTAACTTCGGAAACAACACTTCTCCAGAGGTCTTACAACGCCTCAAAGACGCCCATATTTCTTTCCAAGTCAAAAACAGTCCATGATCTCTGTGACAGTCTATTGGTGAATCTGACGTACGCCGTAAGAAGACTTCACAGGCAACAAAACCCGCAGTCGACTGTTTGGCGCCAGGTTTTCAGACCGTTTTTAGGGGATGACTGAAGATTCTGTTTTCCGTAACAAATCAATCACATATCTAGTAATAAAAACCGCCCACGTCAAGGAGCTGGTCGACCTGTGTCTGTGTACTCAGGCCTGTCACACAGATGGGAGTAATAACGTTGATCGTGCGGAACTTTTATGATTCCTGATTTTCTTTACAAACGTTCGTTGATTTGTGTGTCGTCAGCCGGTCTAAAAAAATGTTTTCTTTCCTACCTCAAGGACAGTCTTTTGCAAATTTCAAAGCACGCCAACAAAATTCAAAGAAACTTAACTGAAATGTACCACAGGAAGGCGTACTGTGGATTTTTTCTATTTTGCACAGGTGTCGCCATTACACCTTTGGCTACAAGTTTCCTTGGAGCAATATATTTGCATTATATATGACATGAAAACGGCAATAAAAGAAGAATCATAACTATTTTGGGTAATCATAATCATCCATACTGTTGCCCAGGGCCCATTTCATCAATGTAACGTGGTATATATGTTGTTAACACATGCGAATCTAAATCACCATACTACTATATAGGGGTCGGGAAAGAAGCCACGAAAGAGCTATTCATTCCAACGTAACTGCCGTAAAAACGTGGTGTATGACTAGCATGCATTAACAAGCAAAACACGAGACAGAGGTCTTCGGGTCAACTCTTTATGTGTAGACCTAAATATTTAGTATTTATGACACTTCCCTTGTGACTTGAGTTAGGGGCTTTTCATCACGTAAATCATTAATGGTCATTCAAAAACTCATTATGGTCGAGAGAAGGCAATTTACTGCAGATCATGAAAATTGACTTTCAAATAACGCGTTATTTTGTGGGCATAACAGCCACTAACAACTAACATTGGTGATGGCTGGGCCACATTTTGATGTAAAGGAAATCCTTTATTTCAAGAGAATGCGTTTTCAGCAAATAACAAGAGACTTACGTATGCATTAGTATTCACTTCTGGGAAAGCGAATGATGTCCACGGATATCCGTAACCTACCCGTTATGTACAAGAGGCGATGTGCATATGACATATAGGTGGGGCTCTTACAGGTTATCGTGCTGTTACAATGACTCTTCGCACTTTTTTGGCATTTTAAGAACGTCAATATTCAAGACATTTCACAAAGCGATGAGATATTAGGTCAAACGACACTTTCCTACAAATTGTCACTGCCGTAAGGACTACAACTTCCAAATTTCAATCCCATTTTATGAGACAAGAAGACATTAGGCTATTGCAACGGCGTTTTTGTTAGCTATTCTATCGAAAGCTAAGCCTAAGGTCCCTTTCAAAAAGCTCTAAGGCGTGTGGACTATTTGACGGTGCAATATAGACTTGGGCGTCAGGGGGTGCTGCTTGATGGCCTGAATTTTTGACAGTTCAAGGACTATATGAATATGTAAATACTATTACCACAGTGGTTAATTATAGAATTGACAGACCATCCAAACCAGGGCCTCGTTTGCATAATTGGTGACAAAGTGATACAATCGTCTCTGATAAGATAATAGTAATACTCTCATACTTTGGACCGCTTATGTTGAAATGAGGGCCTTATTTGCATAATTAACGAGAAATCGTTCTGTTTGTAATACGCCAGTGGTAGGTTGTGGGGCTTTCCCATTTGTGACATATTTCTTTACTTACTACGTTCTTTCCATGGAGTGAAGCACTGTTTTGACGAGTGTGTCGTGCATTCAATGCAGTTTCTGTGTATCTCGCCAGAGGGGGTAAAGTCTACTATTAACCTTGCTGGAACTTGAAAACTTAACTATAACTCTATATACTTATGTAGCTACAACAACTGTAAATTCATTTAAACTCGTGTGGAATCAATGCGCGGTAGGGGGAAAGAATGTATTTCAAGTTCGCCGTGATTTAAAAGCCTCATTACCAGCAAAAGAAAGCAAAATCAGCAGGCAACCAGGCAAATACAACCAGTACGTGAGGAGTGGACTACGATGGATCATAGGGGGGCAGTATTTCAAACATAACGCGCCGTGTTAATTTTCGTTTAACGAGAAGACGATATCATATACTTTACATACATAAACGGTGAACTGAACAATTATACAACCAGATACCATGAAACATTTTCGCATAGCCCAACAAGCTATACATGTAGTATTTTCTGGAGTGTTTGGAGACCCCTTCTCGAGTGATCCGGAGTGCTTGCTTCTATCGCTTCATGACGTCTTGACAACCTGTTGAATTGCGCAATTTCTTTTTTTCATTCTTCAAGACAAGGCCTACCGTCGGTGGTGAAAATGTCAGTGGAGAAAGTTGTCATGGACCAAGGTAGGCTATCTTTGACAGTTTTCTAAGGAAAATCTTCAACCACGGGCCCGTTTCTTTACCGGACAAAACAACCGTTTCTTTTCTTAACATGTTTCACTACATTTTTTGACAGTGATTAAAACATATATTATGTTTCATTCCTTATAGGTTTTGTCCCTTCGCTGACCAGGCCGTACAAAAGGCAGGGCGGCGCGCGCGGGTGGCGGACGGGACTGGTGCTCCTGGCGGGAGGCTGTCTGGGCGGGGTGCTGGTGTGCGCCGTCCTCATGCCGCTGGTCTACGTCACCATGTCAGACCTGCAGCTGGAGGTGACCGAGCTCAGGAAACTCGTGGTAGGGCTAATATTTTCGAATTCAGCTCAGTGTGCAAGTTGTGGGGCTCTCCTCAACAATGGGGCCTACCGCTTTATGCCCCGCCTGAGAGGACGTCAACTACATTAGCCGAAGCCAGGCACTCACGTGTACCAAGAGTCCATGTTTTCGCTATCGAGAAAACCTTAAAAACAATATTATCAAAATTCAACTATCATAAAAAACGTAGGAATTAGCCACTGCCTTAAAAAGTCCAACCCTTCAGTGATGTTCGTAGAAACATTGGATAGATCTATACACGAGTTTTACCTTTTTCAAGTAGCCTCTGGGGAAGACTGCGTAATTAAGTTTGGTTGTATGCGTTGTTAAGTGCACAGCATTAGGACTAAACCTAGGGGCTCAAGTCAAGAACCCAGTACCTCCCTAGGCCAACAAGTTTTCAACAAACAAAACCGCCAAACCATGCAGCCGTGGGAAAATGGGGACAAGTGTACGTCACGGATCAGTTGGCTGGAGAGATGGAGTATTGTCTACCTACTTCAGTCGTTCTTACCAATTTCTTTACATAATACACAGGTCACCCGTTCTCAACCGACTGTCTCACCTGGTACGGAGGACCGACAGAACGACACTGCTACGGGCGGGGCACATAGAGAGCGGAGACGGCCGGACGACCCGCCGCCGCCGTCCATCGGGAACGTGTACGTGCGGTGGGGAAGGGACGACTGTGGTGAAAATGCCAAGAATATCTATGCCGGTAGGTCGAACAGAAGTTATTTAACATAAAATATCATCTCATGATGTCCTGTCAACAACAATCAAAGCTCATCCATTAGTTAACTCACGCTGCCTGAAACATCTAACATCCTCCGGGGATATCGATCGATAATGATTCAGAAACTTATCCTCCCTTTTCATAGGTGTTGTGGGAAGTGGATATTGGGAGCACCCGGGAGGGGGAAGTGACTTCCAGTGCCTGCCCCTAGAAGATGTGGAGTGGGACAACCCAGTGGCCGGTTATCAGCATGACAGCTACATGTACGGGGCTGAGTACCAGCGTGGTGCTGGATACTTCTCCACCGACAACATGGGGCACATCACCAACCCTCTTAACTACGACGTCCCCTGCTCGGTGTGTCTCGTGTCCGGTCGGTCTGCACACGTCATGATCCCCGCCCGCCTGTCCTGTCCTCGGGGGTGGAGTAAGGAGTACAGCGGCTACCTGATGTCGGAACACTACTCCCACAACAGCAACAAGAACTTCATCTGTGTGGACGGAGCTCCCCAACTCAGGGAAGGATCATCTGCTAACTTTGATGGAGCCCTGCTGCACCTGGTGGAGGCGAGGTGTGGCTCTCTTCCCTGTGGGCCCTACATCGACGGCTACGAGCTGACCTGTGTGGTCTGTACCTTATTGTAAACTGCTAGTGGCTCAACTGGGCAGCAGGGTCAACATATTTCCCTTCACTATCTTTTTTAAGTGTGTGATTGTTTTGTGTAATGATTGTTCTTCTTGTGTAATACAACGGTGAATGGATCAACTGTATACTTTCCATACATATATACAGGATAGCAAAGACAACAGATCATCCTTTCGCCTCTACAGATTCTATTGAGACAATTGTAGATAATTTACAGTCATAAGTTGCATTGAGTGACGATTGGGAAGTGATTGCTTTGTTTTTTTCAGGTGGATATTACTTCAGCTATTAGTCGTTATCAACATTGTGTTGTTGTACCTGTTCAATGTTGGCAAAGTTCTATGGGTGTATGTTGGATTTCATGTAAATATGTGTGCAGTTTGTAGGGGTGCGGCTGATACATAAATATCACGCTGTTTTAGATTTGTCTAATACATGTGTATATATTCCACTGAGGTGAGTTGCACAGGTTGTGTTTCGACATTGGGTGAAACTTCGGATACCACATGGAAGGTACTTTAAATTGTCACTATTAATTTTCCCTTTCCTTCCCAACACTTCGCCATCAAGGAGAGTTTTAGGCATCGAGCGGCAGCCACCATTGAGGATTCTGATGGATTTCGGTCCCCAGTACAGACAGCTAAGATGGATGCCCCAGGGATGCCCCATCTTGGTAGCCTTCCCAGCATGCATTATTTCACTCTTCAAAGCAAGGCCTGGGTAGGGACCAGCATCAGGACATCCCATTGGAAATCTATGCTAAAACCACTAGAAACAAGAACTTCAAAACACATTTACCTTTATCTCAAACCTCAAGTCTTTACCCCCCCATTGCAAAGCTGGATTTGTCAGGTGTCTTTTGGTACAAATAGTGGAAGTTCAACTCTGGGGTTTTAATGAGCTACAGCCAGAATATTGAAATGATACCAGGATTTCACCCCCTGGCAAAGTGGGACAGTCCACACAGAGAACAAGTACTAGTATTTTATTAAATAGAGGTCAATGACAGGTCAAACCATGGAGTAAAAAAATAAAAATCTTTGGGGAGTGTGATAAGCTATGTTTCTAATCATTTGACATCTGTCCTTGGCCATTATACTGTTCAGATTGCTAAACGCGGTCACATGTTTTTTCATACCAGTTCACAATAGTCTCGCTAGATGTCGCAGTTACACCGTGAGCAAATATCCTCCGAGTTAGTACCTGCAGTTTTTATCAAAACCGCATGGATATCACAAATCATGACAGGGAGGTGCCGTGCTTACTAGTTCCAAAAAATCAAATGATTTTAACCTCCTTGCTAGTTTTAATGAATAACTTTGAAGAATGTACATGGACACCATAAGGCGATGTGTCCCATAAGGAAGTGGTACATGTTTAATCAAAGGTTTGAAATCATTTAAAACTTTGAAACTTTACAAACTTTGCCACAGTCAGTAAACATAAACCATAAGAGACGGATAATGATATCATGACATAGTTACAATACTAGTAAATGATAAAGGTGAAAATGTCTTTTGTGCATTTTATTTTCTCCTTGTGCTTTAATGTTCTTTTCTGTCGAGTTCAAGGTACATGATACCCTTGTTTCTGTACACTATTCGGCAGAAAAAGTCCCTCCTTACGACCCTAACCCTGCCCTGATCATCAAGCAGACGTATGGCTTCGACTTGCAATTGTAAGTTTTCTTTGTATATTCTTTTTTCATTCAATTTGAGCAATTGGACCAAACAATGCGACAAGTGAGACTCAAGAACATGTAAAACAGGGTCACACAATATTACTTTGCTTTTTTCAGAGTTTCCTTGTATTCGTACATTCATCCTTGTCTATCGCAAGCCCCACACCAAGGACTGGGGAACTTGTCACAGTCCTTTGGTGGTGTTCTTACAAAAGGGAGATTACCCGTTAGAGAGACGCGGTCGTCTTAGGTTGAGAGGAGACAAAGGCAAGGGCATTCTTTACTTATTATCTTTCTTCTAAGTCGGAATCTTCCCACAGCCTCCAACAGTGGCCTCCAGACGTGCAGTAAGATTTACCGTGGGAGATTTTTACCTTTCTTTGTCGCGGCCACTTTGTCTACACGCCGAAGCCGCCATTGTGATGATTGTCCGCCGGTAAGTGGTCAGAATCGCATGTCTTAACGGAAACAAACAAGTTCAAAAGAGCATCCGGTCAGGACTAAACGACTTCCTTTGTGGGTAACGTTTTCTTACGAGTTAGTTACCTGGCACCAAAGACTTGCTACCGTTCTCGTTCTCATGAGTTAGGGGATCGACCAGTAGTGTCTAAGGGGAGGGATGAAAAGTTTCAAGTTGTCCTTTCACCTTGTGCTAGCTAGCTAAAAGGCAGTATCTGAAGTTGTAAATAGGAAAATATTATATGAAATAGGAAAAGTAATATACAAAGCACTATGTAAAAATCAGCTTTATTCTTTACCCAAAGACTATATATCTAAGCACGTGCACGGTCCTTGATCTAAGACACCTGTTTTCTCCTAGCGGAGTTTCATGCATGTGCATCTACACATCGCGCGCACTGCTACACGTTTAGTTCATCCAATACATGTAATTTTAAGTAAAAGTATCTTCGCTGCGAATCAAAACGTCGTACCTGCAAATTAAGACCACTATTCGCCCCACATTCACAACTCCACGTCATATATACCTCTCACACGTGCGCAGGTGATATAGTATTACGCCCCCCACTCCGGACATCGCTCGGCCCGTCCCCCCGTCCCGGCCTATCGCCTTCCCCGCCGCCGGGCCGTGCGTGTGTTTGCCGGAGGTAAGCCCACCCCACGCCGGACGTGTTGTGGTTGTAACGCTGATCCCGGGAGGTGACGCCGCTCACACGCTCCCGGGTCACCTGAGCCACCAGGTGGTTGTTTGGGTTGCGGTCGACACGGACCACCACGGGCGATCACCTAACTGTCGCCATGACAACGAAACGAACGCCCTTTCTCGTCTTTGATGTTAGATAGTGAAAAGCTATTCTCGTTTCTTCACAGTGATGACGATAGACAGGAGGTATGGCATTTGTTCTTAACTGGTCCCCAGAGCTTCCTCTTCTTCATACCATAAACCGTGACATACATATTATAAAGGCCAACACAAGTGGCCGCATACCTGCCTATAAAGGGCGTTTTTCTAGTTCAATTCCTAAAGAGGTCATGTGGATTAACCTTTATTCTCCAAAGCTTTGCAGATATAGTCAATAAATATTTTACGTTGCAACCTCGCATTGCGAGCAGGGCTTTTCGTTTACTTATAAAATGATAATGGACATGAAATAACCCAATATTACCACACGTAACTCGTGCTGGGTGGTAGAGTCTATGACAGTGATGTATGTATGACCTTATAGCAGGGACAGGAGGGCATGCCAACAGCACTAATTGGTAAACTTGAGATCCAGGACTCAAATATCCAAGCAGATGTTGGGAGGCTCTAGCTCCCCCATTGTAAAAACGTGTGCCCCACTATAACGTTTCCCATCCATGCCAACTTTTTGTATGGATGAATAATTCATGTATATGCGTTTGAAATAGTCGTCAGTTTCTCCAGTTTGGTCTCGCAGTTCAGTGTTGGGACATGTCACTGTTTACTGTCAATGATCGTCAATGAGATTTCTCTTTCTCTCCCTCCCTCTCTCTATCCCTCTCTCTCTCTCAGTCTCTCTCTCTCTCTTGGTTACATGTAAACTTCATAAATACACATGCAGAACTCTATTTCACGATTTCCTGTCCACTTAGTAATATAAAAAAAGGCAACCTACATGAACGCCCCATATCGGTACAACTACCATTAACCATCACACAAACGCAAATTTCATATAAAAACAAGCTACCATTATTTCTATTTGATTATTGTATTACCGAAGTCAAGTTTGCCATACATGTTGCGGATGTTTGTTTCGGCTGACACCCCATGTTTTTTGCGGAAGTAATTATTTGACGATCACCACACTGGTCAAAAACCCGCTTCCGTCTGACACAGGCATGTAGGATCAAATACGATATGAGACCAAAATGATCAAACCGAGATCCACCCCCCAACCCCAACCCCCAGATTCTCGTATGTGCATGAAACACATCCATAAGCTGGTGTGTTACGCCGAAAGGCGGTTATACCGGCTATACAGATACAGATCCATTGTTCTTTAGATATCGCTATAGTATAGATTTTTGGCTTGCTAATTGCATTAGTATGTTCTTATTGTAGTTTTACGTTCCAACAGAAGCCGGTATGTTAGTGTGCGTGTCCTTCACGCAATCCTAAGCACTCATACAAACAGAATAACAGACATGCTACGGTATTTTAGTAGAAGCAACCACTTAGAAATATTTCTAGGGAGTGCGTAATATTTTAAGAAAACCATAATAGCATAAAACCAATGAAATTATGTGCGAAATTACTAGTAGTACCTGCACACAAGCAATTTGTGATAGCGAACCGTATTGTAATCATGGAGAGTACAAAGTATAGGAGAAAAGGTAAACTAAGACAGTAGCCTCCACCCCTATTAGACGCTCCATTTGGTTGAACCCTGAGGACCTTGACGTCCGCCCGCGGGGTGTCTGTTTGATATGGCCCGCGAGCCGTGGCTGGGCGCGCCCGAGCGTCCTCAAACAGCGCCTGTGACCCGTGGCCGCCCCGAGCCAGAGGTCGCACACGCCAGTGATTTTCCCACGGCAGCGCGCCCCACAGGGCTCCGGGCGGCTGGCATACGCGTACTGATGAATCACTGACAGAAACTCCGCAGAGATGTAACCGTGAGATACCGCCGCGGACAAGGACGTTCCGAAAAACAAGCCCCGCTGTTCTGTGGCCTTGCAAAAGGCATGCAGGAAATTGTCAAGTACACAAGGGGTTTGGAAACGGCGAACAACAAGTGCTGTCTGCATTGAAAGATTGGGAAAAGGTGGCCTTCGCAAAATATCAAAGAACGGAGTCATTGACCACGAAATCTATCGCTACATAAACACGTAGCATATGATACAAGATACGAGTAGCTTGTATCAGTGTGTTTCCTGTTTCAGCGACTAGAGGCGTTTCGAAACGTTCTATAGATAGTTCAGCCTTGTGGTGAGAGACAAACTCTTTCAACTCACGCTAATCGGTGCAACAAGAAAAAAACGCCCAAATCGGCAAATGCCACATGCATAGGCATTCAAAACTATTCACGACTATTGTACCTTCATAAGATGCTTACATTCCAAAGCTATTACCCGCTATTTTCCCACAGTCGTGTGTTGGGCAGTACGAGGGAATGCTTTCGGCGGACGACGCCAGTATGTGATACGACAGGCGTCTATTGTTGTGTGTATGAATAAGCTTTGATGGGGCACGCTTCCCTTTTTAGATTTGTCGTGTTTCCGGATGCAATGACCATTATGCCGAGATTCTTTTACTTACGTTCTACAGAGACCTCACGCGAGCTATTTTAAGTCCTGATATTTGGGCTGCGGTTGAGACATGCTAGGGCAGAGACTTCCCTGACTAACTACATACTGGTATTGGTCTTCCCAATGAAAGGATAAGATAACTTGCTTGGACCAAGGACCTTTGATCAGGGTCATTCAACCTACTGCACTCACCTAACCCCTTACTACTTCGAGAAAAGGACCTCGTGTTTCAGTAATTACTTGCATACGCTAGTGATTCAACAGTCGCACACACGGAAGATTCATTTCATCCCATTTTAATACCACGGTATCAAAAAGACCAACACATATACACATAGAAACTTCGTATGTTTAACATACTGCCATATATAATATAAAATATATCTGCAATCTCATTAATTTCTCTCAATTCATTGTTTTCTGTATATACATGATAAAATCATTTGTACAATAACTGATGTTCAGATTTCAGTACATGTAACAGTGGAATGTACAACATCAAGTCTTTTCAGTTCGTTTTTCACCACGGCCTCCACATCTTCTCTTCAGGGATAGGCGCGGGTGACACGGCCGCCTTGGTGGGTACTGCGGCTGCCTGTGTGGGGACGGGGTGGCTGGGCACCACGGTTTGACTGAGTCCGTTTGGAGAGGAGACAGAGACTGAGGAAAGTCCTTGTGGTTGTGGTTGCGCGGCTGACACGACGGTAGTGTTTGTGTACTGCACGGGAACGACTTGTTGCTGTTGTCCGTTGGTCTGGACGATGGTCTGCCCGCCCGGCAGGAGCACCGCCACCGGCTCTCCGCCGACGAAGTGGCCGGGCACCACGGGAATCCCGCCGTACATGGTCGTCTGGATGGCCTGGGGGTACGCGCCCTGAGCCGGGGACAGCTGCACCCTCTGCATGGGGACCGACGCGGAGGCTGGCACCTGCACTTGTACGGGCTGGACGTGCGGGAACGCCGACGGGTGAACCCCTGCGTACAGCCCGGACGTCATGACGTTGGTGGCTGGCTGGTGAGTCGCCAGGTGGTTGATGAGACGCTGTTTCACCTGGGAGTCGACGCCGTCCATGGAGCCCATGACGCGGGACACCTCGGTCATGCACTCGGTGAATCCGGATCGGTACTTGCCCAGCAGTGAAGGGTCGGTGGAGACTGCAGCCGCCATCTGCTGCCTCTGGAGGTTGCGAAGATGCTTGACAGTCATCTCCAAGATGTCAGCCTTCTCCAGCTTCGAGTGACGGGAGCTCTGCAAGGGACAAACATCAAAGACTTGGTCAATATATTGTGGTCTCATATACTAGTACATTACCTATAGAACACTTCTATTACTTGCACTGATGGAGATTTAGACAATCAAAAGATGATATGTGTACTTACATCTTTGTTCAGGGCTTCAAGGATGAGGGTCTTCAGCTCTGTCAGGCTCTCGTTGATACGAGCGCGGCGTCTCTTCTCCATGATCGGCTTGGAAGACTGTAGAAAAAGGTGCAAAACATGGTAAGATACATTGTACATTGCATTGGTAGCTATTTGTGTAAAGCAACAGAACTATCACGGGGTAAATTAGACTATGGGGGGATACTACGGTTGTCTGTAATAGTAAGTTGTGCAGTACACAAATACATACCTTACGGCTCTCCATTCTTGCCTCACGGGCCTTGTCCACAACCTTCTCGGCAGGCATGTTGCACGGTCTGGAGTTATTCCGAGTAAGTCCGGCGAATGTGTAGGAATGAAACTTCGTGACTGCGAACGGCGTTCTGCGATCAACTTCTCAATGGACGTCGTGT